AAAGAAACTGCAACACAGGTTTTTCTTTTGACGAAACTATTTTATAAGGTGTAACAAATCAAACTAAAACACTTGGTAAATGAATACGCTGAAAGGAATAAAATCAACCATAGGTTCAATAGAGTTGTAAAACTCGCTGCCGACTGGATGTATGGTTTTCTTAAAAGAAGCCCGAATTAAAGCTTGAGGAAACCAGAAGCAACGAGTGAGAACAAAGTTGCAGCTTTTAAGTTGAAGTTGGCCGATTTTTCTCAAACCTTGAATCTTTAATGAAACTTTATAAATATCTCCCTGCAAGGATTTTTAATAACGACGAGACAGGAATTTCTACAGTACAAAATCCTTTCAATATACTTGCCTAAAAAGGCAAAATACAGGATGGTTTTGTAACCAGTTGGGAGCGCGGTAAAAATCATACCATGTGCTGTGCAATTAGCGCATCTGAAAAATTCATCCCGCCAATATTCATCTATTCAAGACAACGCATTACACCCTTACTGGAACGTGGAGGTCCCCCTGGTTCTGTTTATAGATGTAACAACTCACACTGGATGACCGAATGACTCAAACATTTTAAGACAACAGTTCATGCGTCCAATGAAGATCCAGTCTTCTTGTACCGGACAACCCTAGTAGCCACACTTCCCTCAATAGCCACCAACAGCTACCAGAATTCATATGCTCTCATTACCGCCTCACACCTCGCACAGGATGCAGCCGCTAGACGTAATGGTATTTGGGCCAGTGAAAACAGCGTTAAAGAGAGGAATGGATGTTTTTATGAAATATAGGCAGTATCAGCAAACTATACCGTATGACTTGACATCACTTTTCTACAAAGCTTATGTACGTATGGCCACAGTAGAGAGAGCAGTAAAGGGCTATGAAGTGATGGGAATCTATCCTATTGATCCAAATATCTTTACTGATGAACATTTCTTGGCGACTGATACTTTGAGAGATCCTAAAGTTCCAGAGGAAGCTCATGCAGCACAAGAAAGAAACAAAACATCTCCAGTTCCAGTTGCTCAAGATGAAACTAATGAAACTCCGCCTGCTTTGAATGTGAAGGAAAGTTCATATTTATTATTCACGAAAGTTATGCCACTTCTTGAGGTATCAACTTGTGAGAAAACGCCTTCAAGACAAAAGCAAAACTCTGGGATTCTCACTTCAACATCTTTTAAGGAAATGTTTGAGGAAAAAGAAAGGCAACGTGCCAATAAAACCACGAAATTACCAAAGACATCTGCACAAACTAAGAAACGTGAAAAGCTGCATGCGATACCGAAAAAGCAGCCGTTAGGCAAAAGTTATGTTTAGAAGACTATTCATCCTCCGATGAAAGCATATACGTAAATAATCTGTTATATGATGAAATTGGCCGATACTAGATGAAAATCCATAACTAACGTATTCAAAAAACACTAAATTGTGAGATTATCACTAAGAAGTTTCACAAAAACCTAACACTTGTTTCGCCATAAAATGGCTTCTTCGGAATCGTCTTTATTTCCCGCCCGTTTTTTTAAAACTGTTCAGTGAAAATCTCACAATAGTATTTTTTGAATACGTTAATAATCTATGATGATGAATTTGGTAAGGACGGGGAGATGTGATACAGGTACACAATGTTTGGAAAATGGGTGAATTAGGAATGTAGTGGTTGCTCAAAATCGAAACAATATGTTTACGACTTCTGTCTTTACTCTTAAAGACACGCCCGAAGAAGCCATTGTATGGCGAAACACGTGTGCATTTTCATAAAACGCACAATAAAATGTTTTTTGAATACATCAAAAAATTATTGTTCATTCACTACCCACTAAGTTAATATTCATATTACATGAGTTGTAATATTTTTTGTTGAAGTGACCGAATCATACGGAACCGGAAATGAATCACATAAATTCATTATTACGAATTGGAAACTCAAATTTCCACTTCACTCTCAAAATTACGACTTCAAACTCAAAATTTCGACTTTAATCTAAAAGTTTCGACTTCAAACTCGAAATTACGGTTCTATACTTGAAATTTCGACTTTAATCTCGAAATTTCGAACATTGACTTTAGTTTGGAAAATTCGACTTCAAACTCGAAATTAAGGCTCCAAACTCGAAATTTTGACTTCAGTCTCAAAATCCAACTTCAAACCCAAAATGTCGAAATTAAAGTTAAAATTCCGAGTTTAAAATCGTTATTTCGAAATTGAGGCGAAATTTCGAATTTTACAGTCGTAATTTCTCAGAAACAATCAATAAAAATATTTGGTCCGGGTATCGCATGTGCAAGTAAAAACCTCTCTTTTTTAATTAAAAGCTTTCATTTAACTTGACTTGTATGTATGTTAACACATCTTGCAAGTTTAATTTGACCCACTTCCCGGTATCCGATTGACCTAAAATTTTGCATGCTGGTCCAGAACAGATGACAATGCATGGTAATCACTAACGTGACCTGACGCTGCTGCCAGGATCGGCTCCGTACGAGAGATCGCCTCAGCGGTAAATAGCAGGGACACGAAATTTTGCATACGCATTCGTTTATGATAGGCAGTTGGTAGGCCCACCATGAAATAGATGCCACATCCAGGGTTGGCTTGAATAAAAAATATATATTTTCTGTGAAAAGAAGACAATAAATGGTGTAGTAGGTTGTTAAAACCCATATTTATTTGCATTGTAAAAAAATATTAGACTGTTCGAAATTAACTGGGACTCGACCATGTAATAATGACGCCATCAATGAAATAAATAGACTAAGAAATATAACAAGCTAATTCTTCTATATCGGAGGAGTTGGTACCTACCTACTTCTCTCTGTTTAAAAATGTGTTTTTCCGTTAACCCCATACGAACGACATCTCTCAGAAGTTGAGAAACTTGTGCGAGCTAAGGACCAACGAGGTATTACCTTTTAACGTGTGATTCCTAACACGGTTGCAGAATCATCCCAGCTTCAACCAGATAAATTCTCTCGAGAAAAATCTCTGGTCGAGGCAGGAATCGAACCCACAGTCTTCCGATCGTGAGCACTACCACCGCGGCCAATTCCACAATTCTATAGAATATAGTTTATCATAATAATAGTTTTCACTTGAAGGACTCTCCGTTTTATAGATGGAATTTCGTATTGATCGATAACTATCGATTGAAACTAAAAAATATAAAATAAAATAATGATAAAAAAACTTTTAAATAAACATGAGTTTGACCGATGTCCCAGTCAGCAAACGCATGACGCATCGCGAAATAGCGCGAAAGGTCCGGATGGGTCCCGAAATCCGCAGAGGGATCCGGAACGTTCGTTGACGATATAAAAACGTGGCTCTCCGTCCCGAAGAGTAGTCTGTACTTAGAAAGTGAATCGTGCGTTTAAGGAAAATAATCTAATTGTGGAGATAAATTAAGCATTAGTTACTAAATGTTGTACATAAATTAGTTGTGATAGTGAAATATTGTTAAAAATAAATTTGATTAAGACAGTTAATTCATCAATTCGTTACAATACCTACTAATGTTTTTCTTATTCTCCATTACCAGGAACATCAAATAATTGATTAATCATCAGCAACAATCGTTTTATTCTAGAACTCAATGAAATTATGAAACAACAAAAATTAATTGGCTCTCCGGGGCGAAACGCTTGATTCCAGTGACACATTTGCTTTTTCAGCTGCAGGAAAACCCGGAAAAACCTGCAGCTCCACATTATCTAAAGATCTTGATGTGCCGATGTCCTATCTCTCATAGAATAAATTGTAGGGTGTCTCAAGAGGCTCCAATAAATATCGCCAGAATATTTAGTAACACAACTATCGTCAAACTCAAACCAGTCCGTTTCGTCTTTGACCAATGCATAATAATGACCAGATTCAACGCCAGAACCACAGTAAACAATTATTGCATGAAGACTATAATAGTAGTCTGCTAGATTGACGTGTTCATTCATTTCGAACCTTCGTAAGAGTTTGGTGCTTCCATCAGAGGTTGAGTCATGTTTGAAGATCATCAGTGTTATTAGATTGACAGTGTTATTAGATGATTCAACGATAAGCTTTGCACAGACTGGTTATCAGTCATATTAGGAAACGCTAGTTGATTTCCAGAAAATCACATACGTTTTTGCTACCACTTGAACATGTACTACAAAGTAAACAAGTGAGTTTTTTCCAGCAAAAGATCTACAAATACAAGACGAGATAAACTGTACGGAATCATTCAATCCAGAGCAGTCAGGAGTATTGATTCTCCTATTTTCCTCCTCACGAAGACTATTCAACAAGAAACCCAAGAGTTTGGAACGATCCTCTTGTTGTCCTAACGAGTATCTAGTGGACTTCAAAGACTCCAGGAAATCAGTTGGTGGAAAAGATGATACATTCTCACGAATCTGCCTCTGCATGAACAGGTGTTTGAGTTTGGTGAATAAGTAGGAAACATTCTCGTTCTCATTCATTGTTAAAACCTCGTTCTTGAAATTCTTCGTCCTGAACAACACTTTAATAATGATGGTGAAATTTATATTGAAACATTTTTTTAAATATAGAAGAAATTTTCAATTTATTATTGATATTCATGATTTAAGATCTTTAGTAATATATTGCAATATATAGCTACAATTCTTGAGTTTACTAGTAACTATATTAAAGCCACATTGAAAGTTTTCCATTAATATTTTATTTACATAAATTTCAATCATTGCAGTTGTCACAAAATACTGTAATTGATATTTCACATCTGTCAGGTGTCCAGTGATAAGACATTATTTCTCAAAACGAGTACCATTTTATTCCCATTTCACTGATTACTATGCGATTTGAACGTAATGAAATAAGTTTTCGTTGGTAAGTTAACGACGGGGTAATCGAATGATAACATCGTGCAAATGGTTATTATCTCAAAAATAGAAATAATGAAAAATTTCCGATTATCGATCGCTCATAATAGATATAATAATATAATTATGCGATGGTTTTTATGAAGTTATAAATTATTGTCGAAAAAGCAATTCTCGCATTCCCGAGTGTTTAGTTCGGAACGAGACATGTTCACCAAAATCATTAGCAGATCTGTCGGTGGTAAAACTACAAAATGTTTCCTGGTGGACATGTTGAGAGGACTGAGAGTTTCAGAGGCAAGGAATGGATTTTCTACAATAACGCTAGAAAGGTATGCAACATATAAAAAAACCTCATTTTTTATGCCCAATATAAAATTTTCTTTTCCATTTTATATGGCAAAGAGCACACATGTGTGTTTTATTGTTTTCAATTACTTTTGCTTATTTCAATTGCTGTCGAATTCTGCATCTGTATCTTTGAGAAGCTATTTTCGACATGAAGGAAATATTAGATTAGTTTTCGACATGTGGAAAAGAGAAAACTGGAAAAGAATTTGGAATTCATTGTGAGATTTTCACTAAACAGTTTTAGAAAAACGCGTTTAGACACGCCTGAAGAAGCTACTGTATAGCGAAACACGTGTTACAGTTTTGTGAACATATTAATAGGAAATAAAAGGCATCCCTATATAATGGTACCTCCTCAGCATCTCATGGAAGCTGATAGAAGAATTTATTTTTGTGAAAAAATGATGGACATGTTGGATAACAATATCATCCAATTAGAAGACGTTATGTTTTCTAATGAGTGTACTTTGTCTCTTAACGGTCCTGCTAATCGACAAAACAAAAAATCCTCATTGGATGAGACGCAATACCCTTGAATGTTTGGGCAGGGAGTGTAGGAAACCATATCATTTGTCCCCTTTCCATTGAGGACAACTTGAATGGCGATAATTATTTGGCACTATGATGTCATTCCAAGTTTAGCAAATTTATATCCTGATCCAGGAAACCTTCAAGTTCCAGTGAATACGATATGGTTTCAGCAGGATATATGGAGCACCACCACATCACCAAGTCAATGTCCGGCAATACCTTGATATAGCATTTCCCAATCGGTGGGTAGGGAGGCGAGAATCGATTAAATGGCCAGCGCGATCACCTGATCTTTCATCATTAGATTTATTTTTATGGGGAGCAATGTGTACAAAACTAAACCTTCAGATTTGAATGATTCAAAAGAACTAACAACGCTTGCGATTAGGTCGGTCACGCCTGATATGTTAAATTATGTTAGACGACAGTTTCATTTGAGATTAGGATGTTGCCAAGACGTTTGCGGTGAACATTTTGAACATTTAATTCGTTAGCATCCACAGTTCTTTTTGGTATTCTACATTTCATCAAGTTTTGCATCAAATTTTGTTTTGAGTTTATTTTATGGAATTTCGGTAACCACATGATTTTAATTCATTTTATCTTAATTGTTGCGATAAACTTGAAGACGATAACAATTTTGAATAGAGAATAAAGAGATCTTCTAGATATATCACAAACCTATAGTTCCCACTTAAACAAATGGGGGTCGTACCTGTCATTCGAAGGGGGTTGAAGGTAGGGGTGGCATTTTTACGTTGAAGAATGTCAAATCATAATTGACACTTAACTTGACTGTATCAATAATGAACATTCCATTTGTTGACAATGATTTTGACGCTGACACATATTTCTGAACGTTGTGTGCATAACAATGAGAATGAGTCGATATGTCAACGAGATTAGGCATTTGATTTTCGTTTTTTTTTTTCAATACAAAAACTTACATTACAGTTAATTAGTAAGTATAGTTCATCCATTCCCAATTGGAACGGCAATTAAAATAAGAGTACAGTCATAAACATTTCTTGCCTGTGGCCCCTAGTCGCCCAGATAGTTAGTAAACGTGCTATCAAATGTAGTTGAGGAATAAAGGCTTTGGTAGCTGGACTGGCTGAATACTAATTTTTTGTCCGTTTCACAATATTTCTTTATCAGTGCCGTATGTTCGTGGGGTTAGATGAGGTAGTGAGTGGTTTTGCAAACCAATTTTTGAAAACTTTTTCTAGAGATTAATTACCCTAACACCAAACTGATATTTTTGTACTCGACGCGCGTTTCGCTAACAAGGTTAGCATCTTCAGGAGAAGCAAATTAATACTGAATCTAAAGACAAGGGTTAGCTGTTAATTTACGTAAAGTTTTTTGTTCCGATGTGGACTTTGTTTGCTAAATGATGATTATCCTAATTGATTTTTCGGTAATTAATTAACTAGTGGAAGCACTACCTGCAAATTAATTTGTCAACAATAGATTAAAAAGCGAACAAATTAATTTGCAGGTAGTGGTTCCACTAGTTAATTACCGAAAAATCAATTAGGATAATCATCATTTAACAAACAAAGTCCACATCGGACCAAAAAACTTTACGTATATAAACAGCTAACCCTTGTCTTTAGATTCAGTATCAATTTGTTTCTCCTGAAGATGCTAACCTTGTTAGCGAAACGCGCGTCGAGTGAAAAAATATCAGTTTGGTGTTAGGGTAATTGATCTCTAGAAACATTTTCAACTTCTACACCAAAGGTTCCAATCTCATCGTTTAAACCGATTTTTGTGAAAATCTTAGTGTTTTTGGGTACTTTCATCAATATGGCTTTCTGAAGACCTTCAGAAACAAATGATAACATTACGTGTGAGCAATCTGTGTCAATCGACAGGGATCCGGAATTTGAAAATAAGGACTTACATGTTCAAGTTCAGCGAGTTATTTTAAATACTCATGAATACTTGAAGAAGGAAAACTGACACACTTCACAGAATGCTATTGTGAATAGAATATGCGAGTTAACGAAACTATCTCGTTCGACAGTTCTCCGAGTCATTAAAATAGGGAAATACAAAGGAATACAACATTTGCAAAAGTTGATGGTGCTACAAAATATGTGATTCGGCGAACAATCAATGGTATATACCAAAAAAAATAAAGTACCAACCTTGGAAATGATTTGGTATAAATTACTCGACTATCCCGATTACAATTACAAATCTTAAGAAACTCTACGAGGTGTCTTATTGTCTTGTGGCTTCAAATATAAAAAATTGAACAATCGGGTGGTCATAATGGAATTGACACGTATTGTTCAACTCCGACAAGAATATTTGAGGTGAATGAAAAGCTACCGAGAATCCAGCAGACATATAATCTACCTCGACGAAACTTAGTTTGACACCCATGATGTCAAATATGGCTGGGTAGACGAAACCAAGTATTGTGCTTTGAACACACCTTCTTCAAGGGGAAAACGTGTTAAATTTTGCATGCCGAGAATGAAAGTGGTTTCGTACCTAACGCTTTGCTTCTGTCGGCCAAAAATATAAAAGATTCGTCTGCTGATTACCTCGAAGATATGACTGTGGCTTTAATCGAAACCTGGTTCAGTGAGCAGCTTTTCCCAAATATTCCTCCAAACTCGGTTATTGTTATGGATAACGCTTCGTATCATTTTCGGTTATTGACTACGATACCAAACAATAACACAAAAAAGCAGATATTGTTGATTTCATGCGAAATTATGACATGGAAATACCTGAAAAGATTCCAACGAAAAAGGTATTACTGGCGACCATAAAACAACGTAATTTCAAACGAGAGTATATTATTGATTCGATATGTGAAACATGTGGTCATATACTCTTACGTTTGCCTCCATACTATTGTGTGTTCAATCCAACTGAAAAGGTTTGGACCACAATGAAAAAAAGCTTGCGGAAATGTAATCAGTCACCGACTTTGAATGCTGTAGTGCTTGACAATATAAGGCAAGTGGTGAATGAAGTAGGTAATAGTGATGTGTGGAAGAACTGTGTGGTCCACGTTATAAAAGAAAAGAACAAATATTATGTGCAAAGTTCCATAAATCCGATCGTTATTCAACCCGATGATGATTCCACCTATCCGAATATAGCGAAGAAGAATTTTGATTTTTCTAGCAATTTTGTTGGCCTCTATTATTTTGTAAATATATGTGTGGTTTTTTGTGTTTTCATTGTATTTTAGAGTTTTCGACTCGGAAATGAACTACCTTAAATTTCGAAGTTTTTCATAATTACCCATGGCGGAAAAATTCAGTTGAGATAACTTTTTCATGGGGTGATCAATTGCTATGATTGTAAGAATAAGTAACTGAAAAACTACCACTGCAGAAAGCAGGAATTCCTTCTCTGTGCTGTTCCAATTGGTATTGGAAATACTATATGTAAATGAGACTTTTTCTGGTAGATAGATCGATCACCATTCAAGTTCGTTAAAATTTTTGTTGAATGAATTGAAATTTTATTTTCAATTGAGAATAAGTTATTGCGACCATCTTGAAAACTGAACGTTTTTTCAATGCTTGAGTATATCATCAATATTTTACAATCTTTCAGCAGGAAGAGTCAGCCTGGCAGGAGAAATATGTCTCAGAAAATAGATGTATTTTCAGAACAAGACTTTAAGATATTATCGTCCTCATTTCCTGAGGTGGTGGATACTCTGACTGAGGTAAAACCTTGGAATCAGGATAGAAGGCTGGTAGAAAACCTCAGGGTAGTTTTAGAAAAAAACGTCAACTTTTGGACTAATTCTCGTGGGGCCGCGACAATAGGAGCCTATAAAGTTTTGGAAAAAACTGAAAATCTTACAGATGAAAATATCAGGCTGGCTAGTATTTTGGCATGGTGTGGCAAATTGGTGAGTCGATTGAATAATATTTTTGTTGAATACATAAAAATGATATAATCACAAAACTAGCATTGCTGCAATGAATAAATGAATTCTCAATTCAATAGAATTGTTAATTATTTTGAGAGAATTTTCACAACTTTGCACACGTAACTAATATCACCAACATACTTGAGCGTCATCTAATACAACTAATCTTTGAAAATAATGTATTTTGGTTCGAATTCTGCTTCAAAACGTCAGCGCTTGTTACGTAACGGCTGTGACGTCACATGTTCCCAAATAACATGAGAGCTGATGAGGCGATATGAACATTTTTGTAATATCTTTAGCGTCTTCATTTCCAAAGTCAGATTAGCAAAAATGTTCAACCCAGAAAAATATTTGTGAGCAGTAACGTCAAGCACTCAACTGGTATTTGTCGTTACGTGATTTGAGAGTGAATTAATTACATTTCGATTATATATATGGTATATAAATGGTATTCCTCAAAAATTAAGAAAAATTTGTTCTTGAGTTACCTATATTTCATGAAAACTGCAATTTTTCTAGTACTATTCAGAAGTGATCTCAAAGTCGAAGACAAATTGTACAGGATGACTGCTTCTAGGAAAAGCTAGCAGCTATTTAGCTCTCACCAACCAAATTTCGCTAACATTTGAGGTAATTGATATTTTGTCAAGAACATTTTGTCGTTAGTTACTATTACGAAACAAAACAAAAAACATATCCTGGACATTCTTATAATACTGAACTTTATATTTAATTCGAATCAAATTACTGTCATTTTTGAAAAATTGTAATTTGTTCTCAGTAGGCTTATCTACTTCATCACTAAAAATTTATTGTAATACTAAAATTTGGTCATCAGAATTTTTTTTTTAATTTTAGACCTAGTCGGGAGTATGTCTATTGGGCGTAAGTCTTCAGTCATATGGCAAGTCAACTTGCCACATATTTCTTGAAATGTGATCCTCGAATTTTTATTCGCGAATGATAGGAAGCCTTGTTAAGAATTATTACACTATTCGCATCTAAATTTGGGATCAATATGTTTTCATACCATACCTCAAAAATATTGGCTTCCATGTTCTTATGATAGCCAACATTGCAGTCCTCAATATTTTTTTCACATAGTCCCAAAGAATTCGGAACCCATCCTCCACTTCCTCCGCAATGCACAATGATTAGTCGCGATCCTTTGTTCGCAGGCATGTTAGGCGTATACATTCTCGAACCATCAGTCCAGCTCTTCGTAACTGTCTTATGAGTGTCATACCAAGTTTCATCCAAATAGAAAATTTGCCGTTGTTCTTGTCTATATTCAGTTATTTGTTCTAAGTATTTGTTACGCAATTCCACTATTTTTCTGCTTTCCATAACTGCTTGAAGTTTGTTTAGTATTTTACATCTAAATGCTAGTTTCTTTATTCAATTCCAAAGAGTTGTGTCACAGCAACTCACGTTATGGTCGGAAGTTTTTAATTTCTTCTTTATAATTTCAGTTGTAGGAATCTCATTGCCTTTATTAGATGAACGTCTAAAGGTTTCGGTAATCCTGTATCATATCACATCTCGTCTTGCGTTCATAAGGTTTGGTTTTGACTATTTTACGTACAGTTGAGAAAGGAATTTCGGTCAAATCTGTATCTCTTTTTCGTATTGTTCACCATCGCTATCGGAATCACTACACTGGAAAAAGTCTGCGTTGTTATCACACTCGTTATTATTATTAGTAATAAGGTAATTATAACTGCACCAATATCGAATTTAAACACTCAAATCGCGATTAGTTCCTGAACTGAACACGACGGCGATAACCATCCCGGCATTCCCGATTTCTATTCGTTACCCTAACATGACTTCCAATTTAATTTTATGACTCTTCAACCAATCATAAAACTGGGTTAGTAAAAATTATCCAATACGAAGTCCACAGTCCACGTGGATTAGTTCGCTGCCGGTTCATTTCTATATATTGGATTTTTTGGCCTTTGAGAGTGCCGCAAACTTTCAGAGTGCACTATATCGTTAACTTCAACAATACTTTTGGCAATACCATAGTAACTTATGACATATTTTAGCATTTTCAAATTCATATTATCCACCTATTGCATTAGTACTTATTTTGCATAATAACGTTTCTAATTCGTGATCTGTAAGGAATGTTCCAGTGTACAAACTTTTTCCAGAGATCGGTTGGCTTATTTTCATTAAGCTCCATCTGATTCTATAAGTATATTTTCTGTTTATGATTGCATGAACTAGATTATTTGATAGATAAACTCGATTACGTCTCACATTTTTTAAGCATGGAGGATATTTGAAGTAAAGTATTTGCATTGATCGAATAAATACATAAATAATTTTCCTTCACGAAATATCTATTTGGCTTTCTACTTATCCATCATCGAACAAAAATGTATGAACCTCATAAAAAAAGTGAAAGAATAAATTACCTCAATTGAATACTTCCTGAAAAGTGGTGTGAATGATGCACAGAAGTTTTCCTCAAATGCAAACTGAAAAAGGTCCTACTGAAACAACTACTTTCCACATACACTATTTCTTATTTAGTTAATCCTCTAGACGTTCATAATGAAATAAATATGCGTCACAGGAACGGTGGAACGCTACATAACGTAATATATGCAAAAATATCGATATAAAATTTTACTTATATAGAAAATAAAATTCAAAGTTTCGGGACGAGACACTTGTTTTTATCTCATCAACAAGATTTTGGATTACATCGAAAGACGAAGTCCTTAGGTATTTCTTTCATATCATTACAACGTCATGTCACCGTAAGATACTTTTCTGCTCTCGTCACGATGACAGTTAATCAATTTAATCCCATAGAAATTTCCTTTGAATTTCAAAAAAATAACTTATTTCTCCCAGATTACTGAAAGAAAAAGTTTTACCGAAAAAAGTGCTTTCAAACATGAACACTGAATTACATAAAAATCACTTTTTTTTATTCGAAAATATTCTGAACACGATATAGACATTTTTGTGTAGAATTTTTATTGCGAAGAATTTTTTTCTTCCTTTCTTTGACAGTTACCGAAACCTTTTTCCAAAAAAACTATTTTTTTTAGATTTCATTCATAGAACAAAGTACCAGTTTAACTTTCATCACATTTTTCAGTTCGAAGCAGCAATCATAATAACTGATGACATGGTAGACAACTCAGAAACACGGGGATGTGTTCCTTGCTGGTACAAAAATAAAAACGTCGGTATGAGAGCTGCATTTGACGCCATATACCTAGAAAATGCGGTATTCCAACTACTCAAGAAGTATTTTTCGACACATCCTCAGTATCAACAAATCGTAGAAGAATTTCACAATTCAAATTTTAACATGATGATCGGCCAATTGCTTGATTGCATTACTACCGATTTGAAGAACTTCAATATGGAACATTATAAATTGGTTGCTCATGGAAAGGGATCACAAATGTTTTTTTTCATTCCAATTGTATTACATTTTGCGAATTTTCCCAAAGAGTTGCGGGAGAGCGTACGTCCAATTATCGACAAATTTGGGCAATATTATCAGGTTCAGGTGAGTTCCCAAATTTCAAATCGATACATTACTAATTGACGTAGACTTTACTGTCGAGGACCATAAACATATTTTTGTAACCTCTACATACTAGATTCATTTGAATTTTAATATATTTAAAAAAAAATGTATAACCCTGCATTTTTTTGATGAGTTCATTCATTTTCTATTTATTTATTGCGCGATTGGGAATACAAACAGAATATATCTAAAAATATTTTCAATAACACTCTTTTATTAATCTAAAGCAAATGAACTTCAAACGTTCAAGCCAGTCTCTATATACCTACATAGTAGGTTTAATGGACTGACGCCTATCAGAAAACAACTACTCCCCTGGCTAATACCACGAAGGGCGTTGGATTATATCCGACAGGCGTCAGTGCAGGAATCTTCACAGAAAATTCCCTGCATATGCAATTGGCAATACAACTGAAAGAGTCGACCTTCAATTATGGAACGGGCACACTTGCAGACCGGTTTCGGGCTTATTAGCCACTCATCAGTGCAAGATAGTGACCATCATCGACCTAAAGTCAATGATATTCCACAATTGAAAATCGGAATTCTTTCAGAGTATTTCATTCCTCTTCCGAAGTTGGAGCGAACATCAAAAATGTCACTCCATCTAGTGGACGAGGTACTAACCAACTGCACATCCGTAATTTGCCCGATTCCTCTAAATAAGGAATAAAAACTTTCTTATTAGTCAATGGGCTATGCTTGAAGACTGGCAGTAAACAAATCTAAAGCAAATGGAACTTCAAACGTTCAAGCCAGTCTCTATATACCTACACAGTAGGTTTAATGGACTGACGCCTATCAGAAAACAACTACTCCCCTGGCTAATACCACGAAGGGCGTTGGATTATATCCGACAGGCGTCAGTGCAGGAATCTTCACAGGGAATTTTCTGCTGAGCGCATGCTGAGACTTGCGGAGAGGGTCAATCAACGAATAAATGAGTTCACCAAGGCTCAGTGGAGGGAGAAACTGGAGAGACTTAACGTTCAGGACAACTCTTTGTGGAGGATGACACGACGTCTCGACAACAGATACGAGCCCATGCCTACTATAGAGAGAGGTAATGAAAGTTGGGTGACCGACGTTCAGAAGGCCAAAATGTTCGGCAAACATTTCCATAATGTTCATCGAACAACACCAGACAGTACCGAAGAGCATAGAAACATCACCGAGGCGGAGGGGTGCGTTCAATGCCTCCACCACGGCTAAACGGTGAAGATCTTGCTAAAATCCTCACTGACTTTGAGGAGGTGAGAGACACTATAAAACGTATGCTACTACACAAGCCACCTGGCAGCGATGGCATTGGAGTAATTCTACTCCGGAACCTGCCGCGCAAAGGTCTCGTACAAATGGTACGTATCATCAACGGGATAATCAGATCCCAGACTGCCTGAAGCGCGAGGGTAATACCCGTTCATAAGTCGGGAAAACCGAAGAACCAAAGAGAGAGCTACCGACCGATTTCGCTACTTAGCTCGGTTGCCAAGATTGTGGACAAGATCCTATTTTCTCCGCCTGGAGAAAAGGTTGTAACTTATTTCGGAGGAACAGTTTGGATTCAGGCAGGGTCGTAACACGACCTCGCAACTTATCCGACTGGTCCACGGAATAAAGGAGGCCTTTTACCAGAAGAAGAACACAGTCATGGTCCTGTTGGACATATATAAAGCCTTTGACACAGTTTGGACAGGGGAAATCATCGCGAAAATGTGGATGGCACACATGCCTTTATACATGATAAGAATCTTGGATTGTTATCTGGTCAACCGGAAATTTAGGGTAAGAATATCTCTACGGATTTTTCAATGGAAGCTGGTGTTCCGCAGGGGTCATGTTCATTCCCACACCTATACTCTCTGTATACATATGATTTTCCAATGTTTGCAAAAACGAATGTAGGCATATATGCAGATGATATTGCCATATATGCCCATTCTTACTCTAGTGAGGTGGCAACACGCCAAATACAGATTCACCTGGATCTTTTAGTTGTACCGTACATGGAGAGGAATAAGATAAGGCTAAATTCGTCAAAGAATGAACTTGTCAATTTCACGAAGAAATTCACCGACGTGAATATCTTCAAGAAATTGACGATTCAAGGAAAGTGTGTGGAAGAACAGAAAAGTGCGAAGTATCTGGGAGTTATCCTGGACAAGCGCTTGAATTTTCATGAGCACTTGAGTTTAGCAATTGAACGAAACTGTCACCTCATTGCACGAAACTCCAAATTGAGTGTGGACAAGCTCCTGATATATAAGCAAATTATCAGGCCAGCTATGTTGTACGGTTGTCCTGTGTTCTGTAGCCTTAAGAGGACTCCGTTGCAGAGACTTGAGACGATGCAGAATAAGGTGCTTCGTATCGTGACTGATAATGATCGATACATTTCATTGGACATAGCGAAGGTCGAGCCGATTACGGATTTGGTCCGAAGGCTTGCTTACAAACACTTCACCTGGTTTCCTTCCGAAAAGTCCGCTGACTAGTAATATCACGGCAGTTAGAGTTTATCATAATCAACCCCGCCGTAATGGTGGGTTGATCTATGAAGCTCTCGATATTTTCCATGAGCGACGTGTAAATGACCGTTTGTAAGTTCATGAAAAAACTGGCATAGAAAATTTCCTGTAGACATTCTGTCCTGGTTTTTTCATGAACTTTTTCCGGGAGTATCCAGCTAACCAAGACATCGACAGCTATGTTTTCATTTGAAAGACCTGAATATCAAAACAATGTAATGGTGTGCATAAGCCTTGGCGGCAGGAGGCACATTACCTAGTCGTTTTAATAAAGTATATGATTCTGGGTGAGCGTCAACCCGCTAACATCGCGGGGTGCGTTCCCCACCGCCTCCTCTCGTCGGGAACGCGAGGGCGCGCCTGTCTGGAGTCATTTTGGTACTACCCTTAAGTTAGAGGTACTCATGAAATGTAGGCATGTAAACAGTTTATTTTAATAAAAGAGATTTTTGCTTTAATCGGCGCGAAACAACCGCCTCACCAGGCGGGAGTTCGAATCCGTCCATGACTGGAAAAAAATTATAATTTTTTTTAGCAATTTTTGGGATTGGTGCCTTCCTTGGATGTGGTAACCGTTTCTCACACCACCTCTCCGGAATCGACCCTTATTCTCCATTACCCATAATTGATTTAATGAGCCATTCGCGATTTCACCTTAATATGACACACATCAAAATAAATTCGAGTAGATTGTCACGTGATGTACTGAAAAATTGTGTCTCTCCATTGCTACACAATAAATTATTTCGTATAAAGACTGACAGATAAAGATATTATATACTATAACTTAAAAATCAAAACAAATGAGCTTGAAATAGCAAGCCAAACTAGAAAGTGGAAAATAAATAATAGTGGAAAAAAAATAAAAAACACGTTCTAACAGCAACACGAACTAAAAAATGAAAAATAATTCGAATTGAATTTAAAATTGTGTTAAACATCGATAATAAGTCCTATGGCTTGATGTAGGTAAGTAGGTAGGTCTAAAGTGAGTGGGTCTATTCGACCCTCCACCGCAACCCATAAGGGTTTATTATGGCTCACACCTATTCACACTCGGCCAAATAAACCCAGCTTCTTGACGAAGCCGATTATATAGTTTGTATATGGTGAGTGATCTTTCAGGTCAGATGGTGAGAGTACGGATCTGCCAAACTCAAAGAACCTGATTCGGTCCCCAGCGGGGCAGGCACAGAGTATATGCTCTGTAGTTCCATCATTTTTCAGACAGAGGCGACACACACTGTCTTCCGACAGTCCAAGTCTCTGCATGTGATGATTCAAATGACAGTGACCTGTAAGAAGGCCTGTTAGACATCATCGTTCATCCCTACTTTAGTCCAACAACTGTTTGGAATCAAGCTTCGAAGGGTGAATAAACGCCTTGGAGTGAGCCAATCCCGGAAGATTCTGACAGAAGTCCATAACTCTTCTTGCCATCCAGGTGTTAAGTGTTTGTTTGGCAAAGTCCAAAGCGATGCCAATGACAGGTTCTGGTCCAATGAAGCCGCTTGCAGCACCCTTCTTTGCAAAAGAGTCAGCAGCTTCGTTGCCTTCCAGGCCAGTATGGCCAGGAATCCAGACCAGTGACAATCTGTTTAGTCTTCCTATCGAGGAGAGTCTTTTTTGGCAGTTTGCTACCAATTTAGACGTTGCTCGGTGGGAGCCAAGAGCTTCCAACGCCGCTCAACTGTCCGAAAATAATTTTATTGACTTGTGAGTGAGGTTGGATTTATCCAATCTCTCAGCACACAATTCAATAGCGTAAATTTCCGCTTGAAATGCAGTCGCATAAGTTCCTAGGCAGGTAGATAACTCTGTCCCTGGTCTGCGACTGAAAACACCTGCACCAGAACCGGAAGGTGTTTTTGATCCATCTGTGAATCAACAACTATCTGCTCTTAATATTTCCTTCTCCCGCAGGATCCAGTCCTTCCTACTCGGGAATAGTACTTTATAAGGCAGTTCGTAGTAGACTGTTGGAGGCATAAAGTCAGAGGTCATTTCCAGAATGCTATGACTTCCAATATCAACCAACAGTCTGTTGCACTCTGCATTTAATTGATTTGTGCAATAGGCAATGTGCGCAAGTCTGTATGCAGTCCATCTAGCCTCTCTTTCCAGAAAAAAGTGAAGAGGAGGTAGATCTAGAAGGATCTCCATGGCCGCTGACGATGTGGTACTGATGGCACCACTGATAGCCAGACAAGCCTGTCTCTGTAAGCCAGAGAGCTTCGTTTGGGCCGTTTTCTGTAAAGCCTTCGGCCACCAAGCAATTGCACCATACGTGATCATTGGTCTGACAATCATCACATATATCCAATGGATTTGTTTGGGACCTAAACCCCAAGTTTTACCACAAATCCTTCGACATGTCCATAGAGACAGTCTGGCTTTGTGTAAAACTTTTTCTAAGTGAGCATTCCAGGTGAGTCTTCTATCAAGGACAATGCCAAGATATTTCACCTCCGTTCCAAATGGAATGACCACATCATTGAGGGAAAGTGGCGTTAGATCGTCCAATTTCCTTCTCTTGGTGAAGGGGATTAACATAGTTTTGCTGGGGTTGACAGACACCTGCTCCCTCAGGCACCAACTGTGAATAACGTCCAACGCGCCTTGGAGAATATTACAAGCTCCGCTTCCGACGTAGACCTTGCCAGGATGACAAGGTCATCTGCATAAGCTTGCAGATCAACTTTTCTTCTGTCGAGGGTATCAAGCAGACTATACACCAGGAGCGACCACAGAAGGGGAGATAGTACCCCACCTCGAGGGCAGCCCCTGGTGATTCTGAACCTGATAGCCTCGCCTTGAAGAGTCGTAGTTGCAGTTCTGTTTACTAGCATGGCATAGATCCAGGCAGTTATGGTCGATTCTATACCCTTTCTGGCCAGAGACAATCATATAGATTTAGGTAGTGCATTGTCAAATGCTCCGTCAATATCAAGAAATACAGCAACCGCAATCTCCTTGGCTTGATGTAACTGATAACTTTCAATAAGTCTGAAATCAGAATAAATCTTTATATGTTTTTACCACTTTTATTTGTAACTTACGTTACCGCAGTTTCGTCCTATAAGGACGTTTTCAAACTTATACATCAAACTAGGAAATCACATTAACCCTTATATAATACAACTGTAGGTAATAATAGATGTACTTAGCTTAATTAAAGTACCTGAATTTTGTTTACTTGTTACAATGTGGATACCCTAATTTGAAAACCAGTGAGTAAACCAGATCGATCTGATCATGATTCCTGTTAATAAAACTCAGGTTTACCAATGGGCTCACCCCTTAGTCCACTTTCAGCAGACATATTTATGAACAAGTTGGAGACCACTATAGTAAATTCCGACCTGGGTAAAAACATATTAATTTTTGATACAGATATGTAGACGATATTCTCGCCTGTTTCAGAGGTACTACACGACAGCTGAACCAATGTATGACATTCATGAATAATCTCAAGAGCAACATTAAGTTCACACTCGAAACAGAGATAGGGAAACAGATGAATTTCTTAGACCTGACCATTACACACAATCACAATAAATTTGAGTTCAATGTATTCAGGAAACCTAGCTATACAGATATTACCATCTCAAGTAATTCTTTCCATCCAGACAGTCATAATTTAGCAGCCTACAATTCAATGTTGCAGAGAGCATTCTCACTACCTTTGTCTGCTAACAGTCTAGCTAGGGAAATTAAAACAATTGCACAGATATGCCATTATAATGGTTTCAACGAAGATATAATCCAGAAGTGAGAAAAGAAAGCCGTAAATTCACTTACAGGTTAATATACCCTAGATAAAACAATCATAAATCAAGAAATGGGTAACTCTAACATATTTTGGTAAAAGAACAGAGATAATTGCGAGTTTCTTCCGAAAAAAACAATGGCATTCAGACCACATGCTAGGTTATCTAATTTCCTTTTCAATGCCAAAAATAAAGTGGACAAGTTGGAGACATCTGGAGTTTATAAGCTTAAGTTTCCGGAGTGTAGGTGTTTATGTGGGACAATCTGGTCGAAATTTCTCAAAACGGTATGCTGAACATGAAAGGTGCTTCAGACTAGGTAAAAATGATTCGACGTTTTCAAATCATTCCTTGGTGTGCAACCACAAGTTCCCGAATGTAAATGATACGGAAATTTTGCACTATGAAAGAAGGGTTGCAAACTGAATTATTTGAAATCCTTGGAAGTTCATAACCATGAATATTGCGGGTGCAACGATTCAGTTTACTCACCGGTTTTCAAATTAGCGGACCCACATTGTCACAAGTAAACAAAATTCAGGTACTCAATTAAGCTAAGTGCCTCTATCATTACCTACAGAGCTAATGTAATCAATCATTTTTAGTTTAATGTATAAGTTTGAAAATGTAATACACCTTAAGCACCTCCCTCATATTACTAAAACATTTTAATGGGAAATTCAGTCCAATTCATTATTCGAACTAGTATATCGATGTTTTTAAAAATGGTTTGAATTTTTACTAGTTTTTTGGTGCAAAATTGATATTTCACCCTGTATGTATGTCCATAATATCAGTATGATTTAATGGCAAGAAATAATTGACTGAATTAATTAATGCTAACCAATTAAGTAATACAAATCTGTCAGCGTACGATCACTTTAATCATAGCGTTACCTCAAAGGGTAATTCTAATTTACCTACATATGTATTAAACATAAATGAAAACCAAATTACAAGAACTTCCAGAAACCTGAATAATCAATCACTTGATACTTAAATTTGCACAAAATTCTCAATTGTCCTTTTCTAAAAAAGATTTCGATATACTGGCACAACACTGCCTAATCATTTTCTAATCCATTGTGCACTCGCAGTTCATGATAAGATTTTCATCGGTCCATTCATTATTAGCATCAAAAAATGGTATGTTCTTTGATTTTTTAACATGCCAACTGCAGAGCTGTAGCTGCCTATTAAAATCGGATGGTAACAATTTTTGTACAATGGCTGCCTAATTTCAGTACTAGTTGACTTGTAAATTTGGATAGTGCAAAATGAGTTTGTCTCGTTTCTCTCATAGCTTTCTGAAATCAAACATTTCGAAACATTTTCGTGTTGCCATGATCTGAGTATTAATTTAATTCTGAAATGTTCTATCTTTATGCATTTCAGTTGCTAAAATATCAAATTTCTCTGAAAAATGAGAAAAACCTCCCTTTTCTTTTATATATGTCACCTTCTGGCGCTGAAGATTTTGTAAATTCAGACTGAAGAGTAATGAACAACTTACAATTTTTTTTTATCATCTCGTTCGTTGTTAAATGTTATCAAAGTATATAAAGAGAACTCAAAACTTTTAATTCCAGCAAATAATGTCAAATATGAAGATATAAGGCGCATTTACTTAATGCGCCTAAATCAGTTTACTGTAATATTTTTTTTTCAGAATGACTACTTGGATATCTATGGGGACGCAGAAGAAACAGGGAAAATTGGGACAGACATTATGAAAGGAAAATGTACATGGTTAGCGATAAGAATGATGGAAGAAGCAAATTACAGTCAAAGGAATCTGATGTTGGAACATTATGGAAAAAATAATCAAAAGTCTGTACAAATTGTTAGAAATTTATATGATGAACTGGAATTTGAAGATGAATATAAGCAAAGAGAGTTACATTTATATGAAGAAATTCGTCAGGATATTTCCGAACTATCGAATAGTTTGAATCATGAACTGTTCTACAGTTTGTTAGATGGCTTGAGAGATAAAAAATGGATAGCATAATCATTTGGTCCTCGAAATAGTTTTGTAATCCCACTTCTTTACTGAAAAACTGATACTGATGCATAACCCACTTGTTCAACAACTCCTTGCATTCATTGTTTGAAACCCTAAAAATAAAAATTCATTCACAAAATTCTTTGAGACTTACAGTACTGATGATGTTTTACGAGAAATAAAATTTCACTAGAAAAAGAATTAACAGGAAATATTTACCTCTACCAACATTCCTACCCACTAAGATCTGGCTGACTGTTACTTAGGCTGGCCATATTATATATCCCTGTTATATATCTCCAAAAACTGCATCGATCGATTGTGGGAAAACTATGATTAGAAAGAATCTGAAAATTCTACAATATACTGAAGTCAATAGGGACAACTCGAGTAAAATATTTTCAAGAAGGCGGAACTTCCAATCAAGCTGGAAGTAGCTGTCAACTTCGTTATCTTAACCGGGCGTTTTTTTTTAGTAGTTCGGTAGCCGGGCGATTCGACGTGGGTGCTTTGTTCGCTCTCTCAAACTACACACTGAACGATCGATTTTCACTTGCTATCGTCCAACCCGTATTAGGAATTACACGTTAAAAGGTTAGACCTCGTTAGTCCTTAGCTCGTACAAGTTTCGACTTCTGAGGGTTGTCGTTCGTAGGGGTGCGACAGCTGGTTAACGGAAAAATCTATTTTATTTTTTTATATATACAGGGCGTTTCAAATTCGATCCTCACCATTGTGATCTCGGAAATTATGAGAGATACGAAGATAGTTGAATTGGGGCAAAGTTGTGCATTTACCTGACTAACAATATGCCGTTGAGAAAGTTCCGCAATTCCGAGTACATCCGGAGATATCCAGAAAAAACAGAAACTTCGGAAACTTGTTTTTATTTTTTTCTGACTTTATTTTTCGAAGGATTCGAAAATAAATTGCACTTCCACATTGCCACTTTTTTCCGGCTACATAATGGTTTTCAGATTTGTTATCCGACATTTCTTCTTTCTGTTTTGAATAGAACCAGATTTTACCTTTTCAATGATGTATCATAAGTTATCATTTTTTTTTCGAAAAATTGGAGATATTGAAAACAATCAATTTTTATCATAATAGGCTTTGGTTTTGATGTTTCTAAATTTGAGTTTTAATTTGTTACACTCAATGATATTTTGTTATTGTACAAGTTATTAAATTGTTGGTGAAAAATGGCTTTCACGAATGAAGAAAAAAGAGATATGATACAAATTTACATGATACAGTTTTTTACGACTCTCTCAGGATATACACGGAATTTCACAACTTTCTCAACGGCATATTGTTAGTCAGGTAAATGCGCAACTTTGCCCCTATTTAACCATCTTCATATCTCTCATAGTTTCCGAGATCCCAATGGTGAACCCATTTTTTTTTCACTTAATTGTTTATAACTTTTGTAATTTTTATCGGCGCGTTTTCGGACCTTTCCTTAAACTTTCTAGGCAGAAATACGAATCGAATGACACCTTGGTAGTAATTTTTGGACAGGGCTGAAAAATGTCACCAAAAAGAGCTAAATCGAGTACAGGTGAACCAGACTAAAATTACAGATATTATTTGAATAAAATGCCATAGGGATGACGTCAACGAGTATCTGTTCTGGTATTCCCTTACAGCACACATGGCGAATATATATATTCCAGTTGGTCGAGGTAATTCTTATTGGTGAAGATTTGAGTGCACTAAACGGGTTTCTAAAAGCAGACACTCGTTATTAGTTAGCAAGTGAGAGCATTTCCAATAAAGTATAATGTGGATGCAGAAATACCGTACCGTGGCTATTGAAGAAATGTTTCGTTGGTCGAAAAAATCTTTTCTTTGGGAATTTCCTTGTGAAGAACGATCTAGAAATTTTCGTCGACGAAGGACGTGCACAGTACACGTACGAAATTTCTCCTCGGAGGTGAATTTGTTGTCGAAAAACGAACACGAGGAGTTTTCATCTTTTTTTCCTGAGGTGGTAAATACTTTGATAGATGTCGAACCTTGGATTAGAAATGAAGAATCTCGAGAAAGATTGAAAGATGTTCTAGAGCATAATGTGAATTTCTGGACTAATTCCAGAGGTGTGGGGACGGTTTCGGCTTATAAGGCTCTAGAAAAGCGTGAGAACATAACCAAGAAAAATATTGAATTGGCCAATATATTAGGATGGTGTGCAAGATTGGTAAGTTTTTCAAATATTCAAATCCTTTCCTTTCCTATTCTTCAATTTGATCTTATTCTGTTTTTTGGTGCTTCCGCTCTTCCTTCCAACTCCTTTATCTGTCTTCGTTGTTTCGCTGGTTAGTTTTCACAACTCATTTTGTTTTCGCTTCTTTTCAACTTATAATAATTACAAAAAAATCCTCAAACATAAAAACCATTTCTATGTTTCTTTTTCATAATGAATTTAGTGATTATTTCGAATAACCACATAAGAAATAGTCCGTGGGTGAACAATCTTGAGGTCACTTCGTTGAACTGCAGTATTGAACTCAATATTGGAGCATGACTGGCCATACACATTAATGAACAAAAAAACTGTTAGCCGTCACAGGGCGCCTGGCAGATGTGAAACATCGAAACTTTTTCACAAGTTATATTCAAAAGAATAGATTACGACAGAAACTAATATGGCATAATGTAAAAATACAATATTATGAATTTCATTCATTATGACTGTTTATTTAATTAATATTTATTTTCTTCCAATGCAAACTTTAAAACATTTATTTCGATTTTTTATCGACCTTTTTTTGGGTAATGGTTACCTTCCACAATCTGAAAAAATATAAAAATTATAATGGAGAACTTTATACTTTATAGGTAACCNCATTCAGTAAATCACATGTTACGTATACTGTAGTAAACATAACTGTATACAGGGTGTGTCAGAGGAAACAATTTTTCGAACTGCTCATTTTTTTCGATAAATACTATCTTATAAATTTATTTTCTCGCATACTGGGTGATTCAGCCGAACGAGGCCAACCAAAGTTATATTATTTTAAATAGAACACCCAGTATATGAATACGTCATTCGAGTCCATATCTTTTATCTCTCTAAGGAATTTTTGTTTTCGAATTTCGAAGTTATTCCAGAAAAAGCTATTTTGCAGACAATATTTTTTTAAATCACCACCCCCACAAAAATTAAATAAATTTTTTTACGGATAGTTAGTCAACATCACTATGATAATTTCGCGAATCTCAACTTTCGGAAACAATATATAGGGAGCTCGGTATAACCGGTCAAGTTTCATTTATTTTCAAACAGAGATAATTCAACTTTTTCGAATGGAACACTCTGTATTTTTTTATTTGTATGGAATGTTTCACCATTTCACTACATTTTTTTCAGAGTTATAATATACGATAAACTAATATTTTACAAATTATACCAAGTTTTAGTAATGGTTGTAACTACAAAAAAAAGTATTTTCTTAGGTTCACTCACTCAAATTTGTTATTCGAATATTCAAACTGATCGCTAGTATATTATCATTTTTCGTACCAGTGATAGTTATCAGCGGTTTAAACGATAAGAAATGTGTAAAAAACCTAAAGAATATTTATACTGCTTTTTTCTTTAAAACCTCAGTTATCAATGACTGACATAAAGAAATTAATCTCGGAATTTGTCAATAACGTCATGTGTTGAAGTTTCTTTTGCGTGAAGATTGAATCATTTTCATGAAGAACTGGTAATGTTAATAACGAAAAGTTTGAACGTGTCTGCCCTGTACCTTGTTGAAAATACCTATGTGAATACTACCCCACACCTGAGCAGGTAGTTAGGATTTTCTGAAACCAGCATGTCTCGAATGACACGAGCAAGCAAATTTCATCCTTACCACATGCAATTGATGCAAGAGTTAAGAGGAAGAGATTTTGAAATACGTGTTCAATTTCACCGATGGGGCTTAGAAGAGATCAATCAGGAAAATCTGTGAATTGGCATAAAATGCATTATTATGCAAAGAAAAACTCCCGTTTTGTTCGTTGCCTAAACCGGGGGTCTCCAAAATACGGCCCGCGGGCCAAATCCGGCCCGCCAGTCACGCACTTTGCGACTATCCTAGTCTAGAAATATAGTTAAGGGCAGAAATTGGCCCTTGGAACAAACTAAAAAAATCATTATGGCCCGAAGGCTTCAAAGTTTGGAGACCCCTGGCCTAAACCATCAACAGCATTGCTCACTGAATGTTTGGGGTGGAATTCTCGGAAAAAGAGTTATCGGTCCGTATTTTTTGGATGGGCACCTCACTGGAAGAAAATATGTAAGATTTCTTCGGCATGAGTATTCGAATTTATTGGACAGGGTTCCATGTGAAACAAGACTTAGAATGTGGCTTAGAATATGGAATCAAATGACACATTCATATACTGAGTGTTCTATTTAAAAAAATAAACTTTGGTTGGCCACGCTCGGCTGAATCACCCAGTATGCGAAAAAATAATTTTGAAAGATAATATTTATCGATACACTATAGATATGCAAGTTCAGTGTGGCGAGAGAAATAGCGTAACTCCAAGCCAGTGGAAAGAGAATCGCACAGTCTCTGGCGCATGGCGATCCGTCGCCACGCCAGCAATTGGTTTTACGATGGTTGACTTTTATATTTCGGGATGAGAGAACAAAAACAAATGATAATAATCAAAAATCACTTTATAGTTTTTCAAAATATTCCCAATGAAGATCTATACACTTTTGCATGCGTTTGAACCAATTGTCGAAGCACTTTTGCTACTCTGATTGAGGTATCTCCAAAAAATGCAAAAATGCAGTTGTTTGAGCCGATGTGTGAGAGCTCGCATTGTCGTGGTGAAGAGTGATATTTCTTCAGCGGTTGGTTTTCCTGATTTCTTGGAAGACAACTGGCAAACAAATGATTGTGTACCACTCTGAATTGACTGTTCTGCGTTGTTCTAGTGGTACGGTTGTGACATGTCCTTTTTTTCCGAAAAAACAGGCGACCATTTGCTTGGAAGTGCTTAGTGCGCGAACAACTCATGTTGGATTTGGCTCGTCTTGAAACACCCATACAGTCGACTGTTGTTTACTTTCGGGCTCATACGCGTAAATCCACGATTCATCACCTGTCACGAAGTCATAGACGTGTTTCGAAGCACCGCGATCGTATTTTTTGAGCATTGCCTTCGACCAATCGACACGAGCCTTTTTTTGAGCGACTGACAAATTGTGTGGGATCCAACGTGAACAAATTTTTTTGAGAGTCAAATGTTTATGTAATATTGAATGTATGCTAGTCTCACTAATGCCTAAGGTTGTCTCAATCTCACGATAGGTCACATGACGATCTTGCAATATCAGTTCGTGCACAGCATCAATGGTTTCCAGAACAACAGCTGATTTTGGACGACCTTCACGAAATTCGTCTTGTAGTGAATTACGACCACGATTGAATTCACCATACCATCGATAAACACTGGTCCTTGATGGAGCTTCATCGCCAGAAATTTAATCAAGTTCATTCATGCACTGTTGCTGAGTTAATCCACGTCAAAAGTTGTAAAAAATAATCACACGGGAATGTTCAGGATTTAATTCCATTTTTGGGCCGACATGAATCTTTTAAGTTACTGCAACAACACAAATAGCGCGCGTATGTCAAAACGTTCTGAGTACATATAAGCTCAAAAATGTCCAACTTTACGATAGAGCTGTCAGTTGCCAGATTGCAAGACTAGGGTTTCCATATCCCGAAACATAAAAGGCAACCTATCGTACATGCTGCTATAGATGTTACACATCAAGAATATAATTTTTGCAGCCACATTCTCCGCTACAAAACTGTTTGCAATTGCAAAAAAATATTTTTACATTTTTTATAGTAGGTGGGAGTACAGTTTGATAGCCAACCATAGTGTCATAGATTCAGTTGATTGCCTAACCACAGTGGAACGTGATGAACTATGTATTTATACGCCTTGGTGTGCAGAGGTAGATGTGGCCAAACGACAAGATAGTTGAACAATATTTTGGTGCTCTTTGTATAGTGGAAAGAGAAAGAATACCGTTTGTAATTCGCATTCATTCAAAACTTCGAGTTGTTCAAACAATTTTAATACTCACACTAAATAAATAATTCACATAACATTGAAATAACGGTAGTTTTATTGACCGATTCCCTTATTTTGTATGATTATTTTTCAGTACGAAGCATCCTTAATAATACAAGATGACATCATAGACGCTTCCGAAACGAGAGGAAACGTTTTATGCTGGTACAAAAACAAAGACATCGGTCTCAATATTGCAATAGTTGACGCCATTTACTTGAACGCAGGCATATTTTGGATACTGAGAAAATATTTTTCTGCCTCCCCACAATATCCAGCCCTGTTAGAAATATTTCATGATCTGAATTTCGGAGGAGCATTGAGTCAGAGAATGGAATTGATGCCGTGTAATTTGAATAATTTCTGTATGGAGCATTACAAGTCGTTAGCTCAAGAAAAAGGAAGTCTCGCGTTCACTTTTATATCCATGGCAATGACTCTGGCTAATTATCCCGAAGAGTTACATGAACGGATCCGGCCTATTCTGAAGGAGTTGGGATTATTTTACCAAATTCAAGTAAGTTTTGTCAGACAAAAAATAAGTAAGTGATTGTGTGAACGATTTTTTTTTAAACGAGTTCGAGAGTTTTTTCAATATTTGGAAATGAGAGATTCCAGTAGTGACATAGGTACCCAGTAATATAAAAAACATAAAGCATAAATAAAAACTTTCGGTCATCAAATTTTTATTTTGCGAAGGAGCACACAAGTGAAATATTTCAGTATATCGTCAAGAGAACGACTACAAGGTCTGTTAAAAAAATAAAGTGAATTTTTATTGAAAAAAGGCATTCATCGATTTTCATTTTGTCCCCTTCAGAGTAGTCGCCCTCAGATATAATACACTTGTGTCAGCTTTTTTTACAGTTCTGCACGTTTTGGTTTATCCTTGACCATTCTTCGATTCAGTTTTTATCTCCTCATTCGTCGCAAAACGCCGTCCGTTCATAGGTCTCTTCAATTATGGGAACGGGAAAAGGAAAAAATCGCAGGAGGGCAATCCTGTGAATACGATGGCTGAGGCAGGATTACGTTGTTGTTTTTTGGTCAGAAAATTATGAACAACCAATGACGAGTGAGCAGATGCAGTATCGTGAACCAAAAGCCATGGATTGTTTTTAAACGGTACCGGACGCTTTCCATCTCGCAAGCGGCGCATAACTTGAAGATAATACTTCTTATTGACCGACTATCTTGTGGCAAGAACTCCAGATACACTACGCCACGGTAATCAATGAAAACAGCGAGCAGAACGTTGACATTCGATCGAACTTAGCGCGCTTTTTTGGTTTCGGCTCTCTTGGGCTCTTCCATTGGGATGATTGGACTTTGGTTTGGATGTCATAACCATATACCCATGATTCGTCACCAGTTACACTCCTTTCAAGCAAATCTGGGTCGCCATTGACGTCATTCAATAGTTTCTTAAAGATGGTCATGCGACGGGTTTTCTGGTCAAAATTCAGCAATTTTGAAACGAACTTTGCTGCCACCCGCTTCATGTTCAAAATTTACGAAAAAATTACATGACATGAGCCACCCGATATGCTGACATCCTCAGCAACTTCTCTAATAGCAATTTGACAATTCTCCATAACAATTTTCTTCACTTGCTCATCGCCCCAGCACATCAAAAACATCGGTTGTTGATGTGTTGGGGCATCCACGAGCGTCGTCATTCATCTCTACTCGACCTTCTATGAAAAGCTTGTACCACTTGTAAACATTTTTCTGGCTCAGAGTAGTCACTGTATACCACTGACATATTTCAAGAATATTTGAGCACTTGATTTCATTTTTTACACAAAATTTGATGCAAATTCTTTTATTAATTTTTGTCGATAGCAGAAAATCGCTGAACATGCAAAACACTTCCAAATTCTATGCCTCTCACCAACAAACTGAACATGCCAAACAGTTGAAACTATACTCATGAACATACATTCGAGACGAGTGTATCACCGTGAAAAAATAAAAAATTTAGGTAGCCTGCGAAATTTGAACATTTACCGTATTTTTTGAACAGACCTCGTATATCAGTTTGAAAGGTTATATGTTTTTTTATAGATTAGATCTTGGAATACAAGCAATTTGGTTTTCTACTTTCCCATCTTAACGCAAAGATATGGAAAACTTCCGGAATCAGTGATATCAAAAATCATTGAAAAAGTCGTAAACCACCATATTGCAAGGCTTCAACATCTTGAGCGATCATCAATATGGCTTTTGGAAACAAAAATCCACAATGCGACTTTCTATCGTATGTCACCCATATTTGGAATAACACAATCGAGAAACGTGGAGAGTCAAGAGCTGTTGCACTTGATATTTCTAAGGACTTTGTTCGGATGTGGCATGAGGGTTTGCTTGCCAAACTTCGATGCTATGGCTTGTCGGATCATTTTTATGTATGGCTCTTCAGCTTCTTGAAAGAAAGTTCCCTGCAAATGGCCGTCGATGGATGTCCCTTGGATGTTTTCACCATCAACGCTGGTGTTCCCCCAGAGATCCTTACTGTCTCCAACCCTCTTTTTATTGTATATCAACGACTTATTGAAAAAAAACAAGAATCCAATATATCGCTTTGATGACGACAGCACACTTGTCTCGTCATTACATTTGGATTCCAGGACATCGGCTGTGGATGCACATCTTCACCGGCAGCAGGAGGTTGAATATCTTAATGAGAATTTAGAAGTAATTTCTAATTGGGGTGAAAATAACCAGGTTCAATTCAATTCCACAAAAACCCAAGTTTCGGTTTTCTTCAAGAACATACAAGTTTCCGAACCGGATATACCTAATAATTTCAGGTCAGACATTTCCGTTTTATGCTTCGCTAAGTTTGTTAGGTGTTAAAATGGACGCCAATATGTCTTGGCACAATCATATTGCTGGAATACTGTTCCGAACCAGAAAGCAGCTTTTGATGCTTTATAAAGCTCAGATCAGACCTTCTTTGGAGTATTGTTCTCATGTATGGAGCTCCGCCCCCAAGCATACCCTGAAGCTACTGGATTCCGTTCAGAAAAGAGCCATTCGCCTGATTGAAGACACGAACATCACTTGCAACATCAATAGTCTGGAACATCGAAGAAAGGTTGGAGATTTTTCTCTCTTTTATAGATTCTTTCACGGGAAGTGTTCAAGTGACTTGGCACATTTGATTCCACCGAGAGCGGTTCATATCAGAAATACGCGACGGACTGCGGCTGCTCATCGTATTGAGATTCAACTCATTACACCTTGAACTTCACTGTTTGAGAACTCTTTCATTTGAAAAGGCACCGCTCTAAGACCTCCTTAAGGATTATTCTGTAGTACTTGTGTTTTATCTTTAAATAAAAGAAAAAAGTTGTTCAAAATGAACTCTACAAGGATCTGTAGGTCATGCATAGCAGTTTTTTTTAGATACAAACTGGAAAAGAAAATTCTTTCGAAACAACTGCTTTCGAATGAACACTGAATCATAATAACTTTTTACTATTCAGTTATTTCTCAAAACATTGAATTGAAACATATAACAATTCATAGAAATGCTACACAATATGAAAAAGTAATGATATTAGAAAGTTACATGGAACACTATCATTGTTAAAAGAGTGTTTCGACGTTTCGGAATTAGACAACTGTCATAAGTACATTTTCAGATAACATAACATAAAGACATTCATGCGAACGTTTGGAGTACAAACTGAATAGGAAAAATTGTTTTTCATATAATTCAATGTTCATATAAGAGTTACTGATTCAAAAGTACTTTTTCTCTCGTGTAATTCATTTCATGTGAAAGTAGTTCGTTCAGGAGGTTTTTTCTTTCAGTTTGTATCTGAGATCTACATGCATGCTCTACACATCTTTGCGAAGAGTTCATTTTGAACTTATTATTTTCTTCCTTCTTTCAGAACTTTTTCATTTAATATGAAAAGGAATACACAAGTAGTATAATAGTCGTGCTTTGTGACCGATATTACATTTGAGGTTGGAGAGTTGGTAGTATAATCATATTGAATAAGAATGTATTTATGTTGATAAGAGACGCTGAAAAATATATTCCGGACTATCTTTTCTCTCTCACTATCACAAACGCAGATCTAGTGGGCGGGACCATAACGGAATTCTTACAGCTCTTCCTATATTTGACAAGCTGTACTTATAAACATATCTTTTCATTGTATCATTTGATTTATCTCATTACATGAAAAAGTTTGCCTGAAAATTTTTCAAAACAGATCATAATCAAAATTGGAAAGGTTATATTTTTAGGAGTGACTTAATTTTGGGAAAGAAAGTTTTTTGGTTTTCTACTTCTCCATCTTGATACAAAAAAATGTGGGAATGAATAAACTGTGTGTTTTTTCTTATAATGTTATCAAGATTGGTACTGAAGAGCCCTAAGTGCAATTTTTTTACCATTCATTTAGTGTAGAACTCCTGTGAATGATATCTGATTTTATTTCATAACGAATGTTTTGAATACAAACTGTGTAGGGAATAGTGTCTTCTGTACAATTCAGTGTTCATATAAAAGTATTTGTTTCGAAAGAATTTTTCTTTCATGTATTTCAATGTTTATATCAAAGTAGCTGTTTCAGGAGAGCTTTTGCTTCCAGTTTGTGTCTGAAAGTTACTTCTTTGTATGATCTACACATCCATGTATAGAGTTACTTATTTTGAAATTGATTATTTCCTTTCTTTCTTTGGAAGATTCCCACATTTTTTTGTATCAAGATGGAGTAGTAGAAAGTCAAAAACTTTCTTTCCCAAATATCATAATCATAATCAGTATTAACATCATTTGAATCATTACCACTTTTATTTGTAACTGACGTTACTGCAATTTCGTCCTTATACATTAAAAATGTCTTTATAGGACGAAATTACAGTTACGTTATAAGTGGTAAAAAAAGGAAAGTTTCAATTCTCTTTTCTTCAATATGATTTCTTACCACGTAGTAACGGCGATATCCATTAATTTATTGAAACAAACTTTATATTATTTCATTTAGAATGACTACATAGACTTCTTTGGGGACCCTGAAACAACAGGAAAAATAGGAACAGATATCAGAAAAGGAGCCCTCACCTGGTTGGCTGTAAAGGCGTTAGAAAAAGCTGATAGAGCTCAACGAGCCAAGCTGGAAGATAATTATGGAAAAATCGAACCACATTCAATTCAAATCATAGGAGATTTATATAATGAAATGAATCTACAGAAAGAATACAAAAAGTGTGAAATGGAAATGTACAGAAGTATCTATTTGCAAATAATGGAGTTACCAAAGGAGTTGAATTTGAGTTTTTTCTTAGCAGTGCTAGACGCGCTAATCAAAGGAAAATGGTTGACCTAAAATTTTCAAGTATCAAGTGTGATAAGCATTGATCAAAATTTGATTTTGAAATCAATTTCTATTCATGATAGTAACTAAAAATTTTCACAATATAGATTTCATTTCTAATACGCGTTTCTCTGTATAGTAGCGTCTTCAGCTTCACACTACTTCACAATGCAATTTGTACAAATTATCGTCATTAATTATTAAAGATCACAGATAGTTTTGAGACCAGGTATCCAACAGATAGACATCAGGTAAATCCATATGGTCATTGAAGGTACGTTGAGGTACGTTGACACCTGCATAATATGGAACCATGGGAATACAGAACCAAATACCTTTTTGGAGCACATCAACAGCGTAATACCCTTCATTACTTTCACAATAAAGAAGGGCGTTTACAACGAATTGCCATTCTTAGCCGTATTGGTGAAGAGTACCGACATTGAGAGGGAAACATCTGTATATCGAAAACCCACCCAAACAGTACAGTACCGAATTACGAACCCAATCACCATCAATCTACCAAAAGAGGAATCATCAAGACTCTAGTGGATCGTGCTTTCGACTCTGCAATACGAAGTAAGATCTCGAGAAGGAAATAGGCATCATCAAAAAAGAACTGCAACGGAATGATTACTGAAGTGATGATGGATTAGACTCTGGCTAGAAGACAGCAAGAGCCTCGCAAGGAAAAAAACCGTCACAACCAGTACTTGCCACTTTCCCTCATTGATGAGATTATTACATTTGGAACGGAGGTGAATATTTTGGCATTGTCCTTGATAAAAAACTCACCTGGAACGCTCACTTGAAAAAACTTTTACACAAAGTCAGACTGTCCCTGTGGACATGTCTAAGGATTTGTAGTTAAACTTGGGGTTTGGATCCCAAACAAATCCATTGGATTTGTGTGATGCCAATTGCACAAATCAATTTAATGCATAATATAACAGACTGCTGATTGACACTGGAAGTCAGAGCATTCTGGAAATAACCTCTGACTTTATGGCTCCAACTTTCAACTATGAACTGCCTTATAAAGTACTGTTCCCAAGTATAGAGGACTGGATCTTCCGGGAGAAGGGAATATTAGGAGCATATAGTTGGTTAACAGATTAATCAAAAACACTTTCAGGTTCTGCTGCAGGTGTTTTCAGTCGCAGACCCAGGACAGAGATATCAACCTGCCTAGGAACTCATGCGACTGTATTTCAAGTGGAAAATTATGCTATTGAATTATGTGAGGAGAGATTGGAAGAAGCCAAACTCATACTTACACAAGTCAATTAAAATATTCCCGGACAGTTAAGCGGCGTTGAAAGCTCTTGCCTCCTACCGGGCAACGTCTAAATCGATAGCAAATTGCCCAAAACGACTCTACTCGATAGGAAGACAACAGATTTTCTTGGTCTGTATTTCTGGACATACTGGCCTGGAAGGCAATAAGGCTGCTGACTCCCTTGCAAAAGAGGGTGCTGCAAGCAGCTTGATCGGACCAGAACCTATCATTGGCATCGCTTTGGACTTTGCCAAACAAACATTGAACATCTGAATGGCAAGAAGATTTATAGACTTCTGGCAGAAACTTCCAGGATTGGCTTACCCCAAAGCGTTCATTCACCCTTCGTAACTTGATACCAAACAATTTTTGGATTACAGCAGGGATGAACTACGATGTCTAATAGGCCTTCTCACAGATCACTGTCATCTCAATCATCATATGCATAGACTGTTGGAAGACAGTGTGTGTCGCCTATGTTTGGAAAATGATGAAATAACAGAGCACATACTTTGTGCGTACCCCGCTGGGGACCGAATCAGATTTTCAGAATAGGAGAGCCGTACTCTTACCATCTGACTTGAAAGACCACTCACCATACAAACTAATCGCCTTCGTTAGGAAGCTGGGTTTATTTGGTCGAGTGTGAATAGGTATGAGCCACAATAAACCCTTGCGGGTAGTGGTAGAGGGTTGAATAAACCCAGCCACTTCCGAGCTAACCTTACTTCACCCTGTTTGTGCGACAAATCCTATATAGGTGAAACTAAGAGGCGATTGAAAGTCCGCAATCTTGAACACAAGAAAAATACACAACGAGAAAAAACCAGCCAATCGAGAATAGCAGAGTATGTTTGGACTCATCAACATAACATCAAGTTGTCACAAGCTGAGATCATCCACAGGGAGGAACACTGAATTATGAGGAAACCAAGCTAGCGTGTAGATAAGCAACATATGGAAACCTGTTATCAACTCCTGCTAAACAAGTGAAGGGAACAGAGGGAATAGGTCATTTATTTTCATCTTTCGGAAGAATCTGTTTTAAAATCTGTTTTTCCATTAATCAGCTGTCGCCCCCATACGAACGACAACTCTCAGAAGTTGAGAAACTTGTGCGAGCTAAGGACTAACGAGGTCTTACCTTTCAACGTGTGATTCCTAACAGGGTCCAGTCATCAGCAGAAGACGATTGTGGATACTAACAATTGAAACGTCGAGAAGTAACTGGGTTTGAATTATCTTTATCTTTATTATTTTTATTTTATTCATTGTTTTCAATTTTTTTTGTTAATTTTTATATTATTTTTGTTATTTCGTGGTCATTTTCATCTTTCAGCTTGTTCATTTCATTTTATTCGTTTTATTTTATTTTTATTTGAAGTAGTAAAATTCACCACGAAACATTGTCAACCACTTTCAACGGGTAAATTATTGTTACTAATGATTCGAATATTTCTAGTAAATTTTTCATAAGAACAAATTTGCCATTGGCGAAAAATTAACTTCTTGTTGGTCGTTCATAAGGAAATTTGATTGTTTATTAACTGCCAGGGATTGCAGCAGGTTTAATGTAAATCCTTCATCTTCTGTATATAGTACGTCGTAGTTTATGTCGAAGTGGTTGTTTTTCAACAGATAACATACATACAGTCCGTTCATAATTTGTCGATAGCACAAAATGAGGGCCCAAGTCATAAAACGGTCGTAAAACTCGTAAAATCATAGGCGGAGGTTCCTGAGGTGTTTATTCATTAAATATAAAGCTTCAGTTTATATTCGAAACTTGCCTTGAAAGGGTGAAGTTGTTACGAACGAAAATAATTTTTGGTTTAGTACATTTTTTAATCGCATTTAAT